CCCCCCCGCCCCAGACAAGAGGCCAGCGGAGCCGGGGTGTCTCCGTGAGCACTTTATTTGGTTATTGCACAGAAAGCAAACAACAGTGGGCTGAGGTTCCTCGTGCACCGCGTGCCTGTGAGCGTTCCCGCGGCGCCCGGCTTCTTCCAGCCTGGCTCACCGCTCGGAGCGACGATCGTCACCCCCAGGCCAGGGAAGGACCCTGAGGACCCCACCAGCCCCCCGTCCCAAGCAGCTAGAGCTCTGCGTTGCGCTCGTCCATCGATTGCACGCGACGTTAAATAAATGCACTTAATTGGAGAAGGGCGGGCGGTTCCCCTGGGGTCTCTTCTCCTCGGTTATAATTCCGGTGTTTAAATGTGGCACTCGGCAAACATCACGTTCTGCTGGGGAAGCGATCGGCCAAACCGCCGGGGCAGGGCAGCGAGGGGCTGCGTCTCTCACACGGACATATTGCTAAGGTAAAGCCCGGCCTAACGGGGGGGCCCCACCCCGACCCGGCCGTCAGAGGGGAGCGGAGCAGCTCCCGCACCCAGAGGGGCTCTTGGGCACCTGGGGAGCTACTCACTTCTTTCCTGGGGTGGGTGCTGGCTCCGGGGCTTTGCCCTCCTTGCTGGAGGGGGCCTCGGCCTTGGGGGGCTCTTTACTGGCTTTGGGTTCATCTTTGGGTTTCGCTTTAGCTTTGGGCTCCTCCACCTTCTCCTTCTTGGGCTCTGCCTTCTCCTTGGGCTCCTCCACCTTCTCCTTCTTGGGCTCCTCCACCTTCTCCTTCTTGGGCTCCGCCACCTTCTCCTTCTTGGGCTCCGCCACCTTCTCGTCGGCCTTTGGCTTCTCAGCCTCCTTCACAGCCACTTTGCCAACCTCCTGTTGAGGTTTTGGTGGAGCCTCCTTCTCGGCCTTCCCTTCTGCCACAGGTTTGGGGCCTGGCTTGGTGGTTTCCTTCACCTGTGGGGCCGGAGGCTCCGGCACAGCAGCTGCCTTCTCTTTGGGCTTCTCCTCCACCTTGGCTGGGACATCCTTCTTGGGAGCTTCCTCTTTCCTGCCCTCCTCAGCTCCAGGCTTGGAAGGAGCCTTTGCCTCCTTGGGCTGCTCTTCCTTCTCAGGGGCTTTTGGCTCCTTTGGAGGGGAGGGGGTGGGCTCCTTGGCCGGGGCTGCTTCCTTCTGTGGAGACTTCGCCTCCTCCTTCACAGGAGATTTGGCTTTCTCAGGGGACTTCACGGTCGGGGTCTTGGCCTCCTCCTTTGAGGGGATTGGGGCTTTCTCTGGGGACTTGACAGCCGGGGTCTTGGCCTCCTCTTTAGAGGGAGTTGGGGGTTTCTCTGGGGATTTGACAGATGGAGTTTTGACCTCCTCTTTTGAGGGGGGTGCAGGTTTCTCTGGGGACTTCACAGCTGGGCTCTTGGCCTCCTCTTTAGAGGGAGTTGGGGGTTTCTCTGGGGATTTGACAGATGGAGTTTTGACCTCCTCTTTTGAGGGGGGTGCAGGTTTCTCTGGGGACTTCACAGCTGGGCTCTTGGCCTCCTCTTTCAAGGGAGTTGCAGGTTTCTCTGGGGACTTCACAGCTGGGCTCTTGGCCTCCTCTTTTGAGGGGGGTGCAGGTTTCTCTGGGGACTTCACAGCTGGGCTCTTGGCCTCCTCTTTTGAGGGGGTTGGGGGTTTCTCTGGAGACTTCACAGCTGGGCTCTTGGCCTCCTCTTTTGAGGGGGTTGGGGGCTTCTCTGGAGACTTCACAGCTGGGCTCTTGGCCTCCTCTTTTGAGGGGGTTGGGGGTTTCTCTGGAGACTTCACAGCTGGGCTCTTGGCCTCCTCCTTTGAGGGACTTGGTGGCTTTTCAGGGGACTTCACAGTTGGGGTTTTGGCTTCTTCCTTTGAGGGGGTTGGTGGCTTTTCTGGGGACTTGACAGCTGGAGTCTTGGCCTCCTCCTTTGAGGGGGACTCAGGTTTCTCTGGGGACTTGGCCTCCTCTTTCGCAGGAGACTTCATCTCTTCTTCTTCACCCTCTGCTTCAGCTTTTTCTTCTTCTTCCTCCTCCTCTTCAGCTTTCTCCTCTTCAGCCTCTTTCTCAGCCTCATCTTCCTCTGTGACCTCCTCAGTCACCTGGATTTCCTCTGTCTGCTCCTCCACAATCACTGTCTCTTTCTCAGATTTTTCTACCACCTTGATTTTCTCCTCACTCTTCACCTTGATGTTGGTGGTGATGCTGGGAGCCTTGGGGACCACCTCGGGGAAGGAGATCATCCCAAAGCCAGATTCGATCCGATATTCCTCCCCTTCCAAGAGCTTTCTGCCGGGAAGAGACCAGAGCAGGGCAGTCAGTGATTGCTTCTCAGCCAGCTCTCACCTCCTCCCATGACCAGGAGCTGCCAGCCAAGCCCTGCAGCTCCATCTCTCTCCCTCCTTGTCCTGCTTTCGGGGTGCCGGGTGACCCTTCCTGCTCCTACACCCTGGGCTGTGCAGGTTTCCTCACCCTTCCCTCTGCAAGCCATGTGCAGGGCTGCGTCACCCAGTTGGACGTTGCCCACCAGAGTCTTGGGGTGGGAGAGTCTCTTTCTCACCAAGAAGGGCTCAGGTGTTAGCGAGGGCCCTCGAGGAGTGTCCCCAGGGACACCAGCACTAGGGGCTGGCTGAGACCTTCCCACCTTCCTCTTGCCCATCCCATACCTATAGGCAGCAATTTCAATGTCCAGGGCCATTTTGACGTTGAGAAGATCCTGGTACTCCCGGAGCTGAGCTGCCATCTCCCACTTGGTGTTCCTCAGCTCGTTGTCAAGCTGCTGGATGGTTTCCTACGGACAGGCAGAGCAACTGGTGACATGGGGGGACCAGCCCCCAGGAGCAGGGGGACTCAGAGCACTCCTAAACAGTCCCCTGGTCCCCAGAGCAGGGACTGCTCCCCAACACTGGGGTGCTCTCACAGAGGGGTCTGCCCACACCTCTCCCTGCAGACACAGGGAAGGGGACAAGTCCAGGTGATCTTTCAGTGTGTCCAGTTCCCTTAGGGGAACCAGCAGGACCCCTGCACCACCTCGAGTGAGAGCTGCACTGTGGCCCCCTGAGCCCTTGGCCCTCTCCCAGAGCTCCCTCTAGCAGGGACAAGCTCTGGAAAGGTTTCTAGGACTTGGGTGAGTCTGGTGGCCACCGAACCCCAGCCTGAGGCTGATGGGGATGGGACGTCACCCTGGGGACAGCATTTTAGTCCATGACCACCACATTGGGCAGCCCTCCGTGCTGCAGGTCCCAGCTCTGGGACACAAGACGCAGCCCAAACCTTGAGCACACTTCAGTGGTGTCATGGGCAGCCCAAAGCCAGGCAGAGATGTGGGACAGCTCTGTCATGGGTGAGGGACACAACAGTCCGGATGCAACCTCAGGCTCTGGATACCTGATGACCAGGAGCTTGGGAAGGCCCGCTCTAGACATGACCCTGAGTGCTTGCTGCTGGTCAGCACCATCTCTGAAGCCAAAGCACCAGCGCTGCTCCTCCCCAGCAGCTGGATGGTCCCTCCCCACCACACGACAGGTTTGGGACGCTGCCCACTGTGCTGTGTTACCTGGTAGGACAGGACATCTGCATGATGGCGCTCCTCCGAGTCCTGTCTTTGTCTCTCCAGTGACTCCTGGGTCCCTTTGAGGGCTTCGAGCTCGGTGGTCTTGGACTGGAGCTGGCGGCGGTACTCGGAGATCTCCTCCTGGGCCAAGCGGATGGCATCCGTGTTCACCTTGGCAACCTCCGAGAGCTTGTCGAGCCTCACTGCAACAGGGGAAAAGGAGAAGCTGCAGAGAGGGAGGGAGGGGAGGGAGGCTGCGGTCTCCCCTTCTTGGGGAACCTCCACCCGTTTAAGACTGTGCATCCGCTGCGTGCTGAGCCTCTGCAGAGCCAGCCTGGGCAGGGGCTCCCTGTGCCAACCGGCTTCGCTCCGTCTGTGCTCACACTGTGCCAGGAAAGTGAAGGTGCCCGGGCTGGGCGGGTGTTTTTGCCATCCTGGACTTTACCCGGTTCAAACCCACCCTGCGAGACCCCTTCTCCCCTCCAGCT